ATTTCCGTGTTAATGAGTTTTTCGCATGGCATGCTTGGACTATGGCTCGTTTGAATGACTCCTCTTCTAGGATTGGTACCTCTAGATCCATACGTGTCAACATTCCCTTCAGGATGGATCCATGGGCCTCCACCCTGCCTAGTTGCCAATGTGATTCACGGGCCGAAACTTTCAGGGTGATCCCTAGTTCTTGTATTCGTGTCATCCATGCCTCGCTCAAATATTCTTTTGCGGGGTCCACATAAATGGTCTTTGGAGGTCCTGCCCAACTAAACCAGTGATCTTCTAGCAGATTCCATTGTGCACTCGAATCACTACCACATGGTCGGGCTACATGAAACAGTGTCCCTTCATCGATAATGTGCGTGAAATGGAATTGGGTTCCCTGAGCATTGGTCCACACTGCACCATCCATACCGATGGTATCATTAAAACCAAGATTCTCATGTATCCCCCCAACCTTTGAAAGATCGAAGCCTTTCCGGGACTCTGAACATGCATCACACTGGTAATCACGGGCGGCGTCCGTCAACTCCGACTCTGCGTTCGTGGATCGAAGGAAACGAACAAACGTGTCGGCATCCGGATGTCCAAGTCTGTGGTGTACCTGTTGAATCCACTTTTGTTTCTCCCTATCTAGATTCAGGTAACCAGGTCCATGTCTTGACAAATTCCGGGGTGGTCTTCCAGGAATCTCTAACTCTTCCCCTGATGTCTGAGGATCTCCCTTCTTTTCGGGGTCATCTTCCATCAAGTCAGTGTCCCCCATCCCCATTCTAGACCTCTTTCCTACGTAGGTTTCTTGTTCTGGAACATCTTCAATCTTTCGTTTCTCCCCGACGGGTTCAATCATCATGTCGTCTTTCCTAGGTTCCCGGCCGGACGTTTCAGGTTGCTTAGTACCAAACAGGGTTAAAGTAATCTTCGAAGGAATCCCTTTTCTGATGCGCTGCCGCTGTGGCAGCTTTTGCCATTCCTCTTCCTCTCCGACTTGTTCGATATTTCCGGACGATCGACGAAGTGAAAAAGTTTTTCTGAAAACAAGATCTTCCAAAGGAGTAGACGCTTTGGGAATCCTCAACCGTTCAGTCCCTCGACATACCTCTGCATGTACTAGTCGGAAGGTACAGAAACCCTGGGCCTGTTTGAAAACAGCAGTTTCCGGTCCTAGAACTATTGAACCTACTCTCGGGGCCAGTTTGTCCAGGTCTCCAAAAAGGGTCTTGATTCTCTTTTCAAAGTCCATCCTACGATTGACATCCAAATCTTTATCTTCTTGCGTCCTCTCTCCTACCGTTTGCTTCGAGATGAGTCGTCTTCGTTTCAATGCCTCCCCTACCAATACCTCATCTACTTCTTGTCCTTGTTCTGAAATTAAGAGTTCATCAAACACTAAAGGACGTTCTTGAGGATCGATCTGTACAGCTCGAACCACTGCACGCGCAAAGTCTGACGAGTACTTCGCAGCGAAGGCAGAAAGTGGCATCCACCTTCCAAGGTGTTTCACCTGTCCTGCAATCTGCTTATGTTCATGTTTCTTGCGACAGTATCGACAGTCTAGCGCTCTATGCAAATTTCGGGAGGTCGTCAAAACTATCGTTCTCTTTCTCATCGACTCACCCTTCCAATTCAGCCTACCCACTTCACACATGTCAAAAACCGTTGGCAGAGTACCCCATCTCAATTGTTCCAATTCGGGTTGAACTACCATCTCAGAACCGACAGGCTGTTCCAAATGAAAATGTCTTCCATGTTCTACCTGGTACATGAATAGTTCTTCACACAAACTCAAGTTTGGTCTTTCATGTTTTCTCCCGTCTAGTATGTAGGTTCTCAGTTGTTTGCTTCTGCCCATGTTGCGTCTGGAGAAATTTCCCCAAAACTTGCAGTCAGGTGAAGCCCAAATGTGTGTGGGCTGCTGTGTTTCCAGGATCTGCCATAGCTTGTTCTGACCCTCAGGGGTCCGGAGATCACCATCCTGGATTGTGAATCGACGGGTCTTCAACCCCATCTGGCTTGCTATCTGTGTCAGGTGGGAGTTTGGATAACAGTAGATTTCCAGGATGTCCAATCTCTCCTTCGAATTGTGGGTTCGTGGTGCTAAGTGTCGTGTCCGGATGTCAGCTGAGTGGTTTGCCAACTCTTGCATCTGAAACTCAATCTTTTCCACCAGGTTAGCTAACTCCTTGGCAAAGAAGTCGTTGATTGGAGTGTCCATACTGGTATGAAGTTCAAACGAAGGTTGGTTCTCATAACTCAACTTCTCACTTGTATCATTCATGATTCCTCTGCTGGCATCAGGAAAGCCAACTCGCGTTGCAGAATGGCTATCTGCGTCTGGATCTGGGTCACTCGATCTCGGTTCTCCTTCGCAAGGTCCACCTGCATCTTCTGATGGTCCTCGAGAAGTGGCACTCCTCGTTTTCCCGGTGCCGATCCACTTGCCATGGATGGGATTCCCACGGGAACTTCCGAGCGGTGGTAGCTGTTCAGGTCGTCGATCACATCCCAGTCTGTGGCTGTCGCTCCCTGCTGTGCCCACTCCTCTCGGGTCTTCTTGATCATCTGAGGCGTCAGCACTGGCTGCTGGCTTTCCACCGGCATGGTCGTCTCCATCCGAGCGGTGGCCAACACATAGTTGTGAAAGCTGAGAGCCCAGGCTGAAGTGCAATCTCCCTTTCGTTTCATGAACTCCACGTAGCTCGCATCGATGGCCAGGACCTGGGCAAATGTCTTGCCTGCATGCTTGCCGCCTCCCAAGACCTGATCTCCCCACTGCCTCAATGTGGTCACACCCGGCGGCTTGACGATCTTGGCATCGTTGACCGATGAGATGTTGGTCAACGTTGCATCTTCTGGAAAGGTCAGGGGACTGTCCAGTCCCGACACCGCCGCATATGTTGGGATCACCTTCTTGGGCGCCATGGAGTAGGTGATTGGCTTGGGAAATCTCGGCACTGCTTGAAACTCGAAGGGCTGCTGGGCATGTCTGTCGTGTCATCTCTGTGCTCGGCTGGTTCGTGTCTGTGTTTGTCGTTGTGAGGTTGTTTCCATGACCGTTTACATTGGAAAACTCTAGCATATGAGTCACGACCTCCCAAGTCTCATTCTGCACTTCCGCACTGCCAGCATGTTTCATGACATCTAACAAGTCAACCAAGAACAAACCTTTCTCACTCACCGTCAATGGAACACTCACACGTCCATGAAACATGCACAATTCACGCTTCGAGGTGCAAATATCTGCCGACACTGCTTTGCAAAAGGCATTTGACAGTAAAAAAGGAGTAGTGCCATCAACCACTTCAAGCTTTAGCCAACGCTTACCAAAAGGCAGAAAAACCGCACCTAGACTCTTCAATGTCCCATTGTTTCCGAATCTAAACACGGTATCAGACTTCTGCCATGAGATCTGACGTGCATATTCCTTCGGCAAATTGACGAGCAGCTGCTCTAGTCTCTTTTTTCCAATCACGGACTTAGAGGCTCCTGTGTCCAGGATTGCTACACTACCGTGGTCTACAAAAAACATCGGCTCATGTGGGTCTTCATGCCTGACACGTTTCCCCAGTGTAAGGCCCCCTAAGCCTCGTCTCAGCTGTTGTTTCAACTCTTGGAGGGACAGAGCAGCAAAAACGAATTCTTCATTAACACGGATTCTTGTTTCAGAATACCGACAAAATTTTGTGGGTTTGTTTCCAGCACCGGCCTGGCTGTCTTCAAAATTCCCGGTCGAGCTCATGCCAGGGTCGGTCAACAACATCGTCTCATTCACATCGTTCTGAATCGTCGCCTTCTCCTGGACGACGGGCCACCACTCAGGGAGCATCTGTTCTAGTGAGATCGGGAGTCTTTCCAAGACCTCCGAGTCGACCTCTGACACATTCTCCCCAACCAAAGTGGACATGTGGATCTCCGCTGAAGGCGCTGCGGCATTCGAAGTCGTGCCCTTGTTTGGGCATTCCTGTCGCCAATGCCCACGAGCTCCGCAAAGACGACAATGGGAATTAGCTATGCGGTCCGCCAGTGACTGGCGTCTGCGGAAACCATCTTTTGCATTCCACGGACCCTTCTTGGATCCTTTGTTCTTTCCTTTCCCCTTCGACGGCGGCCAGAAACCACGGGCACGGATCTTATCTCGAACTCGGCCTCTGGCTTCTGTGTATGCTGAGAAGCACATGCTCAAATCGACGTTGTCCTGACAAGCTTCGATCAACTGGTCTTCAAACTCCGTGATCATCAAGGCATCCTCATCGCCTTGTTCCATCAACACCTGAAGACCCATCTCGTCGTCAATCTGGTTGTCATCCTCCGTGAAGTAGGTCGGAATGGTCATCTCTTCTTCATCATCAACGAAATTGACTGGATAGACCTTCTTCTTTGGCTCGGAACCGGATGCACCCACCAGGATGCGAGGAGCAAGTTGTCTCATGGAGTCTTCCACTTTCTTGGCCTTGAGCTCCCCGGCACACATGGCAAGTACCCGCTTCTTGTCTTCTCCATTCAAACCACTTTGACGCAGCATGATGAATGCTTTGATCTCTTGAATGGTCACATTCTTGATCTCAGCAAAGGCAACATTCATACGGTTCACGTATGAAAACACTGACTCATCTGTCTTCTGGGTCACCTTGTACAGAGCCCTCTCGAATTTTTCATAGGTCTGGAGTTCAGCAGAGTCCTCCCAATCGGCCACCGCACTCAGCAAGAGCTTGATGCCTCCATTTGGGTCCGAGAGCTTTTCACCATCTAGGGCTTTGACCTGAGCCCAGGCGGTGCCCTTCATCAGAAGTGCCAGTCTGGGAGCTAGCATAGAACGGTCCTTGACGGGGCAGATGGAGTACAAGAAACGAATCTTGTCGGCATACTCCCTCGGGTCGTCAACTGACGGGTCAAAACCCGGAAGAAGACTCCAGATGTGTCCGGCCTTTTCTTCTCCCGAACTTCCTTCCGTTCCGGCCATGGCTCAGTGGTCGAAGGAAAGGTAAAATGTCGTGCAACAAAATTCTGGGATCAAATGCAACCTATCCTAGGTTAATTACTCACTGGAGAACCCCTCCAAAATGCCTACGCCTCCTTGCGGAGGCTCCGCTACCAATGTTAATCTCACCCTGGAGTTGAATGATCCTAACCTTGGGGAAACCCGGTCCTCTTGTCCAAGCGGCCTCGCTCTTTGTCGACGATGTTCGGTCCACCCACCCACCCTTTCGGTAGGTTCGATCAAAAGGTCGTCATGCGAGACATCTGATTGGTAAGCTTGTGAGCTTCACAATATATGTATATGAATAACCATACAGATCTTTTTTTAGCCACGTTTCTTGACTCTTGTGCGAGTGAGATATTGCAAGTCATGCTGTTGCTGGCGTGACACCGAACCTCGCCCGTGGAGTCCAAGAATGCGCTGTTTGACGCCTCGAAAGGGTCGCATGTGACTCCATGTGACTGGTGCAACGGATTTCGGGGGCTTCGCTGCAAAGCTCGCTGGTGCAAAGCTTGATTTTTGGGGCAGGAGAGCGAACTCATTGCCACATGGCAAGGAAAGCACACTTGGGACAAGGTCGATGGTCGAGGCATCTTCCTCAGCCAGGTTTAATGCTTTTGTTTAGCGCCCCGGACATCTTCTGCTCGCTTATGCAAGGTCTTCATGGAATTCAGGGTTGGGGCTTGGGTGTCTTGGTTTGGATTCACACAACCGGAACCCATTTGGTGTCCCAACCCATTCAAAAAACTTCACCCAACACTTAGATGAAAGACACCATAGAAGACGGTAAAACACCTCCCTTTCAATCCTTTCAGACAGGGGCTTGAACCCCCAAGAAACGAGATGAAGATTTGCCCATTTGTCCATGCTCAACTTGCCGAGGATACTGAAAAGGTCCCTGGTCCTGAGCTGAAGCAGTTGGAACTAGGCCCGGGAGTTGACCGCGAGACCTGGACTTTGGAACCTGATGGAAGCCCGACGGAAGTCCCATAAGTGGCGTAGGGTATAGGCGAAGTTGTTGGAGAGCATGTCAACAAGGGGTTCATATGATATAATACAAATACATGGGATTATCTAGTATAGGTGAATTTGAAGCAAAACAGTCTACTCGTAGTTCCGTTTGGGCGATCAATTGTTCCCATCCCTTTTGACCCAGGTCCGCAAATGGATCAGAGTGTACCAACACCGAGACATATCTCTTCAATGTGCTTCATGCGAATCCCATCTATTTTGAGGTAGCAAACTCTGCAGGTTTTCATGAAGCTCTCGCGTTGGTCGGTCTGTCCAACCAAACGTCACGGTGGACCCATTTTGGATCGTTGGTCCTTATAGGTGAGATTTCGTTGAATTCCTCGCAATCTTCGGTGAACTCCCAACACATGCCTAGGAAGGATAGCACGCCCAGCTCCGCGCCACGGCCGCTAAGAATGGCCACCGCGTGTCATTCCCATTATCCATGGCATCTCGATGCTGCCAGGGGGGATACTTCAAAAATACAAAATATATGTTTGAAATTGGAGGGTTTGAACACACCAACAGTCTATCCGGTGACAACATCTTGTCTTCGTTTCACAACAAATCACAGACGTCACAAGTTGTTTGTTTTCACATCTAACTCGCCATTCTCCGTGGCTCCATTTACTACACCGGTTTTACTCGGTTGTTCTCGGGGATTCGTTGAAGGCACCGCGACCGGGCGGAACCGTTTCCAGGCAGTGTGGGCAGCTTCGTTCGGAACCACCGGATGCTTGGAGTGACTTCACGGCTGGATGTGGAAGAAGGGAAGCTGGAAGGCTAGCACTAAATAGATTTGCTGAGAAACTTGTTCAGCTTCAAGTCAGTGAGAAATAGTAGAATGAGACTGTTTTGTGGTCAGCTGTTCTGAATTTGTTCTTGATTTTCGTGGTCAGTTTTGGTGCACTGGTGATGGACTCCATGTTCTTTTTGGGACAATTTGAAGTACCAATGGTTTTAAGGTCTAATTAAGGTCTACCAGGTAGGTTCTGGGGGATGTTCTACCATGGAATTGTAGGGTTCATCGTCATGTTTGTTTGCAACGTGAGGCCAGACGTTCAAAGCCACCATAAATGAGCTACATGACAGATGTGACCGAATGGTGAGGACCCATAGGGCCAGGAGGGTCCAGGTACTTTAACGGTGCCAGTCTTGAAGGTGAAAGTACTTGAAGAGAATGGTCTTCGGACCCTTAGGCCTGGCACATTTGGGTTCGGATGTTCGTGGACCGAAGTTTGCAGCTGACTGGCAAGATCTCCATGCGACAAGGGAGCGAGTCAGCAAGGGAGCGAGTTCCCTTCCGCGGTAGCTTACTGAGAGAGAGCCTGTCGTGACTCATGAACTACCCTGAACTGCCAGTGGTGGATGGATAGACTCCTACCAGGTGGAGTAGTTCATGAGTCGAAGTTCTGGCTCAGGAAGAAGATCTTCCTCATTTTCCTTTGCCTTTGCACGCTTCTCGCCGTCCAGCCCAGCTCCCGCTGGTTCGGAGCCGAGCTGAGAGAGGCACGGACCGACCAAAACGCGACCGGAAGAGAGAGGAAGAGATGGGGCTGGCGATTCAGAAAATCAGAAGCCTTTTGTGAATCCAATAGGGATATATATATATAGGTCATACATGGAGTCTCTCTTTGATGGCTGTTAATTTTCGGGGACATGCTTCATCCACACGCGACTGTCCAAAACAGGCGGCGGGACTTGTGGGTGAACGTTCGGTTCCCAAGGCGGGCGAAACAATCATCCAACTAAACCGAATGAAATGGAATGATTTGTGGGTTGTTGATGTGTTTGAGATGAGATCATCATATCCCGCGAGCTAAAGCGGAATAAGCACTTGATAGTTGAAGCCGAAAAGACTTGCCCTCTCAAGAAACCCTCCGGCTTAGCCATGACAGGACCGCACGAGCAAGCTGCAAGCGGAGCTCAAGGGAAAAACCGCCGAGCAAATCCTTCAGTGGGCGGCCACTCAACCCAATTCGACGAAATCAGGTAGACAGCGGCCGAGTGGTAGGTAGTGGTATGTAGTGGTGGAGTGGGGGGATGGTTGGGGGTTGGGATGTGAGAAAAGGCAGTAGAAAAGGCACCTTGCCTTGGTTGAATGCTTTTGGTGTCAGGATGAGAAGGGTGAGAGGCCCGAGCAGGCCAGAGGGCCCAGGTTTCGCTTTGGCAGACAGGCCAAGGTGGTTCAGAGTTCAACCGCTAACCTTACCTGACCTGTGATCATTGTTGTAAGTTGCAGTCGCCGTATATTTTACAGTACTTGCAAGTGGAGCAAACTTCCAACGAGTTGAAAGGCCTGGCTTGGGAATGCGTTTGGGAGCCTCTTCGTTGAACTCGTGGAAGGATGTGGTTGCAGTGCTTCTAAGTGGAAAAAGAGCAACGCATCTTGGCTGTTGCTTCAAAACAGCATCGTGCCCCAAACAAAGAAAGCAACCACCCAAATATCATATAAATGTCAATAAAATTCAACATCATTCAACGACACTCGTCTCCGAACTCCTTTCCGAGGCGGAGACGGTTCCGGGCCTGGTCCAATTTAGCAGCTTCGGACCTTCGGGCATGGTGATCTTGGATCTCCTCGATCGCCTAGGCAAGCGGAGTCGGTGTGGGCGCACTGTGAACCACGTCACGGACGCCACGGACGCCACGGACGGCGCCCAAAACGAAGGTCGATTCGGAAGGCCCTTTTGGTTGGAGGTGTGAATGTCCGGATATATGTCCAGTTCAGGCTGCTTTATATGGACGAAGAAGGCACTTACTTGACAGCGTTCAACACGTTAAGTGTGTGTATATATTTTACATATATATATAATATATACATGCTTGCAGAGGAAAGAGTGAAAACAAACTTGGCAGGGTGAACCGGTGAACCAGAAATTTGTAACACTCGCTTCGAAAGGTGTTCGTCAGGTGCGGAGTCCGGTGCATCTAGATCCGAAGTGTTCTCCTCATTTTGTGTGGATATATGTGTTTCTTCCAAAGAACTTGGCGGTTTCGTTTAGGTGAACCTTCGTGATACTCTCTTCCTTGTGTGGGTACACAATCCAGAGCAATCTGGGAGATGACCCCCCTGGCCCGAAACGACCCGCCTGCCCGATGAAACAACTCGCCTCGTGACCCGAGGCCTCTTGGAGGAGACACGGATCGTCACGATCGACACCTTACACCTTTTCCCAGAGAGCTATGAGCATCTGCAGAACGTCACCAGAAGATATCCCAAGATGTGTTTGGGCTCAATCGGCTGCCGACAGATCGCTATCGTTGCTTACTTCGTTGCTTGCTTAACAGTTGGCAAACTTGGTCGTTCCGAGCTGTTCGAACCAAGGGAGGTAGATGCACTGCCGAAACTAATTCAATTTATCTCACTGAGGTTACACTGCTTTCTGGGGAAGGTGGTGCAGGATGTGTTGGGGACAGTGGTGGGATGATGTTCCCTACAACAATGTAGTATATTAAAGGTTGTGAGAAGTCGCAACATGTAGAGGCGCGCAGCTGCTGTATTTTCTGGAATGAGACCATAGCGGCGATGGAAGGAACTGCGCACAGTTTACTTTTTCTCCGAAGACACCAGAGAATCCCGGTAGAAGCGCACTGAGGAAGCTCCAGACCTTCTATCCCAAGGACTTCATGGAGGGCGAAGGTCATCGTTTCGATGCTGCTCGGAGACACCATCGTGCGAAGACCTTCATGGCGGGGGTGGTCTGGCATGTGTGATGGTGTGATGAAGTGTGATCTGTGGATGTAATTGGTTGGTTAGCCCCCATAACCAGCAACCGCCAATTGCGCCCAAACCCATCCAAATGTGATTTCTACTTCCCTGAACGTCTCCTCTTCCTCCTCCTTTTTTCCCTGCTCTCTCCATCCTTCTCCCCCTCCCCCTCCCTCTCCTACTCTCTGCATATTCCTTTCATTTCCCCTTTTCTTATACCAGATTGCAAAGATGAACAGATCATAGAGTGGTGCATGGGGATAGGCTTAATGAGGTGTTTGTTTGGGATCATAATCTTGGGTCACCATGGCTTCGGATTTGTTGGGTACTCCCGTGGTATTGTTGTTTTTTTGACTCGAGCTCACTGCCATGGGAATAAACCTTCAAACTTCCAGGTGTAAGTGGCCTTTATTGATTCATCAGGGTTTCTTATTCGCCGGCCTCAGCGAGGAGATGCATGGAATGACTCTTTGGAAGGACGACTTCCAGAAGCTCTTTGGACAGAAGGGATCTCTTTGGAAGGTTTGACCAGTGTGGGTGAAACGTTCTGATGTGACTGTAAAGTTACTTGAACCCCCCTCCGTTGGGACTCCTTGGGTCCCTTTTGGATGCTTTTGGGTGATGTGACCTTTGAGTGATGTGCGTGTTGCCCAAGCCACTCAACAAGACCTCCCTCCTGGCCCAGTCTATGAATTTCTGGGCCTGTTTGTATGGACCCTTCGATCCTCAACTGCGTGTTTGGAAGAAACTAATTACATTTGGAGGAAAACTAACAAGTTAGAAGTTGACAATTATCGCCTGTTTGGTATTCGGAATTTCATGGTCATTTTTCTTGGGGGCCATGCCCTCCATCGAACCATCCGCTTTTTCAGGGAGCGTCGGTGCCAAAAGGACGTCCGGTAAGTTGAGCCTCAAGTTCAGTGAAATGCCAGCTGAGCCGCTCGGCTCCACATGCTATTCCAAGTGCTTAGATGGCTGATGGCTGTCCCAAGTTACGCCTTGTTTTGCGGTCAGTTTCGAAGGAAGAACGGAAGAACTGAAGAGTTCATCACCTTCCAGGGTTGCGGAAGGGGCCACCAGGGAAGGCTGGAGAGGCTGGAGTCCCAAAACGTGTCTTGCATCCTGACAAATTTCTCTATCGCTCCAGTTGATTCTGGTGCTCAGGAGCTGGGGGTAATCCATCTTCCCCCTTTAAACAGGAAAACCAAAAAAACACAGAGTTTCCCAAGCCTGCAGCCTTTGCTTGTTCCAACCACTAATTTGGTTGAACAGCCGATTTTTTCACGACGTGCTTTGTTGTTTCTATGTTTTTTCAGTGACTCTGTGAGGTACAGTTACCTCACCAAAGTGGAGCCCACCCTCCGTGCGCTGCAACAACTGGCGCCTGGCGGTTGGATCACCGGCCGTCGCCGGTCGCAGGGTGAGCTCCGAAGCCACCTGCCGGTGGTGGAGAACGATGCAGGGAAGCTCGGGCGGATAGAGGCGACGACACCCATGGGTAGTTCTTGCGCAAGATGGTTTGGTATAGCCATGGTTTCGTTCCCTTTTGGTTTTATAGTTGTCTGACACGATATACAGACATATACAAAAACAATAATATATATATATAGGTTTCCATTGGTTTTCCTGTGGTGAGCATCTCATGTTTCAAGAGGAAAGCCGATCGTATCCCTTCCGCTACGATCAATCCTTTGAACCCGAAGCCACAAATGAAGGCTCAATGCAACTATAGAAGGGCCCTGTTTGGGGCAAAATTCACCCTGCCCACCAATCGAATGGTGTGACCTCACAAACCAACATGCGCTACATGCGCTTCACCTCCTTGATATGCATATGCTGGGTCTGGGTCTTCGACGGGTCGAGACCGGGCTTAGGAGATTGAAGATCAATCCTTTGGCCTACTGGACTTGGGAGGATGTTTGGCAATACCTCCACACCCACGAGGCAATGCGCGACGGCGAAACCGAACAAAAACAGCTCGGAATCAGACCTTTCGGTGAACCAGCTCGCCGGTGAACACGGTGGTTTGGTGCTTTGAACGCGGCGGCAGGTCGTTGGGGGCCGAGCGAGCGAGCGAGCAGAGAAACCTGCATGTCGGCGGTGCGATTCACTGACTCGAACTCGACTCTTAATTGTAGAGACTCTTAAAAATATAGAACCTCCAATTGAATTGACAAACCTCTTCCATGCACCTTCCGCACACAGACGCGTGAGACAAGCCACCAGCTTCCACTATTGAGTGGCTGAGAAACAAATGAAAAGATAGAAGTTAGAAGCGCAAAACTTACAAGGAAAAAACTCTTCATCACCACCCTTAAGGCCCGTCCAAAAAGCGATGTCCCCATTGTTCGAAACGAGCGCACATGTCTGCAGAAGGACGCTCATATATGGTCATACCAGTGCAAGAGGAATTAGGAAAATGTGAGACCTGAAGCAACAAACAACGCGAAAAACGAGTCAAGCATCCATGCGAAGTGGAAACTCCCAAGAAGAGATATTCTTTGAACAGCCCTTCTCCATCAAAAAGGCCAAATCTGTCAATTCGTGAAATCTTATGGGGTGCATGGTTATTAACTATAAAAGTCTATACAATACTTCAGAGAGTGATGTTGAAGCATGCAGAGTTGTTGACTCATTGTTCACTCATTCTTCACTCATCAACTTGTATGACAGACGTTACACAAGACATGAGGAGCTTGGATGTAGGATGTTGCAAATAAATGTGGTCATTGGATGTCATTGGTGCCATGTGTCGTGTGCGAATTCAGCCATCACCCATGGCAAACACCCGTGTTTTCGTGATATCCCTGGTACATTAAAGTGTTCCAAATTATGGTACACTTCATGATTTCATGACTTCCATAATTGAAGGATGTGCAATTGCAGACGGAAGAAGAGACCTACACTGGTTTCATACTAATGGCCTGGGCCGGCGCAATCAACATGTGCCGAAAGTGCTATCTATGCTCGACTCCACAGCCACTTTCAGTATATATAAAATATATGTAAATATGGTTCTGTAGACCCACCCTTGGTGTGCAACCCTTATGTGATCTTGCCCACCTACATTGGGGTGGTTTCAGGGTTCAATGTATAGCTGAATATGCCATACATGAATGGTCTGAGTGCGTCATATCCTTCGAAGTGCTCCTCTTTGCCCACAGAGAAAACACTCCCGGCATCACTGGAAGGTGCCCTACAACGTCCTTCACGACCGCGGCTACAGCAGTGTGGGAGCCACTCGATAGCGGTGTCGTAGGAGCATCGGGTCGACACGGTGCAGATTTGGTGCAGAAATGGTTTCGGGTTGTGGTTTCAGGGGCTATCGTAGGGTTGTGAGTGGTAATGAAAGGGTGAGTGAACTGTGACGAGAAGGGTATGTTTTCTGACAGGTGTGTACAAACCGGGAAGCATGGGAGCATTGTGTTCTGATCTGCAAATCCTCATGAATGTGGGAGTGACACAGTGCCACTGACGTTTTACTTTGTCCATAAACTGAAGGGGTTGAGACGTTTTCTCGCACGGCTGAATTTAAATCTGCGGGTCTTTAGAATTGGCATATATAAAACAAGAAGAAACCCCTGTTAGTAGCATTGTTGCATGTCCAAAGAACTCCATTTAAGGACATATTCCCCGAGGATTTGTCGCACACAGATGACCAGGGGCTGATCGAAACCACCGGATGACTTCAGGTTCGTCAAGACGGCCCGAACAGCCCGCACGGCCGGGCCCCATGGCGTGCGTTTGTGTCTCCAGTCGCGCTCCTGCAAGGATGTGATGAATACCCGGCCCACCAAGCCAGGGGAAGGCGAGCGCGCAGGCGGGTTTGGATACGATCTTCGCACAAAAAACGGCACAGTCCATCCGGCCAGTCTTTGTGTATTGTGTTTCAAGTGAAAAAGACGCAAAGACACCATAAAGGCACCATAATGAGTGAAAGGCTCCAGGAATATCCAGGTATTGGAGCTTTTCGGGTAGAATTGGGATTGGGGTGGTGTGGGATGTGTAGGGGGTGTTTGGGTTTTCCTGTGAACACCAAAAATACCGCACTGGATTTGCAACTCGGTTCAGTGCCGAAGGTAGATGTGTCTTCCGTCCCCAAAAAACCCTACGAGTGGTGGAACCGCGCGCCGATCGATCTGGTGGGATTTTCTCGAGCTGAGTCGACTGTCGAGGTCTCTGTTTTCTGCAGATCGTTTAGACAAAAAACGAAAGGAATAAGCGAGCGAAGTCTGGACAGAGTCCTCTTCAATGGACTGAAGACTCACTGTAGTCGGATCAGATCGAATTCGAGAAATTCATCGGGTTCTTGTCAAGCGAATTCTTTTTCGACGTCCAGTGTGCTTGGTGATTCTACAATCCGGCACTTACCCCATGGGTCCAGGACCATCAATAACGGACCCATCACCATGTGACGCTCTGGGATGCGAAAAACGACCTTGGTTCAGTGAAAAAGGAACAAATTCCTCTACCTTGGTTCAGGGATGTCAACCTCAACCATTGTTTGGTTGAGGTATGGACCCATTCCTGCAGGTCTCGGAATGTCGAACCTCACGGGGGATTGTCTGTTCTGCGTGACCGGTGCTCGCATCTGCTCGCGTCCTCTTTTTGTTTCAAGGCCGCTTCGAGCTGAGCCAGGAGACGGGTGGCTGTTGAAGTGATTGCACTCCCGGAATACTCTATGACACTATGAAATACTATGAATATAAGTCTATAAACACTTCCAAACTCGGTGAAGTTGCATTCTGTAGTTCTCAGGGCTACCACAAATACCTCAGAGTCATAGCTCTAGACTTGCCTGCTCAAAAAGAAAAAGCACGCGAACAACTTCGTCGTGGAAATGGTCCATTGACACTCCATCCGAGTTCGCCGGATCGCCTGGGACACCTTTTAGTGTCCAGGAGACCGAGTGTGGCATGCACACACACCTGGCGCGCATAGCAAAGAAGCGCGCTGAGAGCGCCTCAAAGCGTGCTGAGTTGGATGATGCGCCGCACCTGCCCTGTGACACATGTGTGGAGGTGGCTTCTGGGAGTTGGTTTTGGGATGGATATGTCAATACATATCAGTTTGCATTCTTGTTCATCTCTGTTTGACTCCCTTGGAAGCTTGGTCAGGACTTAGTCAATCGAGCTGCAGCTACTTTAAGTGCCATTCATTTCCTCCAAATCGTCCGAACGGCCACCTTAATTCACCTCTTTCCCTCGCAGGTGAACAAGCAGAACTTCGAGGAGGTGGTCCTCAAAACCAAGCACCTCGGAGTTGAAAGCTGGGCTGAAGCGGGCTTTGCTCCCGGGCAGATCTTGTGGAAGGGTTTTGCGCTTTAGATCGCTCCATGGCTTGTGGAGAAGCGAATGGTTGAACGACACGACCTGCAGTTTGATGGAACGACACGTGCTGTCCACGTGAATTCGGGTGTATGGCTGTCATGTCACATCCACCAAACCATTCTGACATGGCACTGTTGGTTGATGGGATTATACAACCTGTAGGGATTCAAATACCTTGTCAGGAAGTATTTGGGCACTCAAAGTGATCTACATAAAAGTGTTTCCAATCACCTGCTTAAAGGGTGGAAGTGGATCCATAGGGAACCATACTTCCAATGACCGATCCACATGGACCTGTACCAGACACCCCCCCCAATGGCATGGCGGCTTTTAACAAACACCCCTTGAGAGGGGGCTTTGGTAGGTAGACTCTCATTTGAAACCCTGTGGACATCGACGTCGTTTGCTCAAGCCTTCCATTTCCACCGGAACGGACGGGAAATCAATGGAAAAGTCGGTGCAATCCTCATGCACGAAAGGATTGCGACCATCAAGTTTTCTGGTATCAGCAATACCATATACGCATCATTTGCTCGTTTGGATTGATCATGCGACCGGCGGACCGAACCATTTGCGAAACCCTTGGTGGTCAGCGATCTCTTCGATCTGATCGGTCTTAGCTTTATCGGTGAGTCATCGGTGACAGCCCGCGCTTGGCGTGAAAGACCGAACCATGATTTCGGACGGATGGGATGGGGATGGGAAGGCTCGTTCAACCTGGGTGCGCCAAACAGTTGACCTGGGCGCCCTTTTTGGCGAACAACCGACGTAACCTGGTGCCCGTACTCCGAACTCCTGGTGCCATGCACGGTGTTTCGGGGGCCAAAAGTGATTGAATCAGCAGCATGAATCGACGCAGGCAGGATATGCTCCTTGAGTTCTATTCGCCGATGTGTGGTCACTGCACGCACTTTGCTCCTACCTATGCGACGATTGCGCATGAGACGCCTGGCAGTGCTTTTTTGGAGTTTGAGGCTTTGTCGCCATTGTGTGTGTTTTTGTGATTCCGATTCCATAAAAGATCATCCCGGCTTTGAATGGAATCACAAAAAAAGGCGTGGTTGCAGTGACCAGCCACGTCGTTTGAGTCTATTGGTTCAACTGCGTTTTTGCTTGACTTTTCCGAGTTTTTCCCAATAGACTTTAAGATTGTAATTAGACGGGTACGTCGTGAAGGGGCTGTATGCTCGTTGCTCAATCACTTGGCACCACTTCAACTACACCACCCGACATCGCCCTAAAAAGAAGCATGACTCGCATGCCGCGCATGCTGCGTGCCGCAAACGTAAGTTCGACATGTGTGAAACATGTCATCCTGATTTCATCCTGCGATCCACCCCTGCATAAATCAGGCCTGTCCAGTAATTAGTGGTGGATAGTGGTGGATGTTTGAACTACGTAGTCCGACGGAGAAACTGCCAAAGGGTAAACCTGCCGATGATTCCTTTGCAACTGCACTTGTTTCCAGTTTCTGGCTTGAGAAACCTTCAATTATTGTTCCATTCTCAGAGGAATCCATTCTCCCAATGCGTGAGCCATACCTGGTGACACAGTGACCCAGCTATTGTGAGAATGTTCAGCACTCGTCAAATGAGACATGAAACCACATGCAACGCACCGACCGTTGCTCAAACCTTTACTGGCGATAGGGTTTCTTTCTACCTCCCAGTTGTTGAGACTGGCAGCGGAGCTTTCGAGCTCTAACGCTTTTCACGCAGTGCTGGCGCCAGACCTGAGGCCCCGTTTACAGAGCGATAGCGCCATCGCACTGGAGACACTGAGGTAGGGCGTTTTCCAGGATTGATCCTGGCCTGACTACAAAGTTCTCGGTGGAAGCGCAGAAGAAGGAGCAGACGCTCTCGGATACCGAGAAGAAGAAGTTGGGGCCGCTTGGACTGCGTTTGGTGGACAGGCTGGCGGGACCGGCGCTGTTGGTGTGGACCGCCTGGCAGAGCAAGGTGGCGCCAAGGCTTGTTGAAGGAACTGGAGGGCCAACTCCTACCTCTTCGACATCAGGCTGCAATGGAGCTGTACCAAGCGGGTACAAAGGACGGTGGCATCCTACTAAGGCAGTATGCTGAACCGAACCTGGCGGTCATCGATGTCACCACAAGATCGTCAATCCGCAAGGTGTTGGCCGCGGAGCAACGATCCAAATGCCGAGCATGCGGACAGATTGGTCACTGCATGGGCAAGGGATCCGATTTGCCCGGCAAAGAAGGCCAAAGGAAAAGGTAAGGGTTCATCCTTTGGATACTCGGGCAGGGGATCTTCGAAGAGTGGCAACAAGAAAGGTGACAAGCCACGGGTGGTCTACTGCACTGTGGGGCTGGAGAACACGTATGACGACACCGTGGGTTACGTGGCACTACGTGGAGGAGCCAATCAGGAGGAGAGCCCGAACATCTTGATCATCAACAGCAGTGTAACGTCCGCCGCGGGATATCTATCGGATGCTGAGGACGGAACTGGACTTCATGCCTCCGACATCAAAGGCATTGCGACCGCCTCCAACTAAGGCATTGGAGACTTGATCGACAGCGAGTGCTTCAGGTGCCTATGAGACGCCACCTAGAGGACCGCTGCCGAAGATGACGTTTCCAACTTCACCGGTGCCACCACTGCCGGTGAGGAGCCAAGGATCGGCAGGCGAGACCAACAAGATGACAGCACCAGTCATGCACTCAAGAGCAGTCGAAGGGGACTGTCCCCATCAGCGAGCGGACCAGCCGCCGGGGGACGAATGCCTACATCGACGACTGTGGAGTTGCCTTGAAGAAAGAGATCGGACACCCCAGACTGGAGGCAAGACAACGACCATACCTTCTGGGGAGTGTGATCATGACAAGGTCACATGGAAAGGCAGCAATGGGTACGTCTGGACATGGACATGCGAGAACTGCGGGCAGACGGACACTGTGACAAAGGATTCAGGACTGGCCAAACCTGTAGCAGGTAAGCCACCAGGAATGCCACAACATGCTGGTGATCAACTATGGTGGATCTGTACCTATTATGGTGGATCTGTACCCAGGACATGGTGGCAGATGCGATGACCAAGGCTATGAATTGCAACGCGGTGCTGAATTTGATTCAGCAACCGACTGAAGCTGACGGTAAAACCGATCCGAGCCGGCACCAGTTGTGGTTTCAGTTTTTGCTCCGCACAACGGTAGCTACCAACAGCCGCTTGGAACATGGGGACCGTGTGATCGCGGCCCCTCGTCGTCCGACGCATTAGGCTGAGCATCAGTGGAGATGCCCTTCCAGCGAGGATGGATCTCTATCACAACCAGGCGATGCCGGCCCAAAATTCCGGCCAAACGAGCCGAACACCCGACAGTGAAGAGCTGATCTTAGTGCATGGATGTGAGTGGTGTATTTTTAGGTATTTTTTGTTTGAGTTCAACACACTGCCGCATCCGCACTGCGAAGGGCGGGCCTGCGTGTGTCCTCTCCCCGATTGGCAGTCATGTTCCGGGAAACATATTTGAATGATTGTTCCACACTCCCTGAAAATCATCATGGAAGTGGATGGCATGGCCCAAGTTCGGATGACCATGAAATCCGAATACCAAACAAAGGGTGCCATCATGATCATCATGTGCCATTATTATTTAAGGGAGTGTAATGTTCATCATTCACGAGACCAAAATTCTGTGAAGCCGAGGTGGGTTCGCATCAAATCATGTTGTTTTTGTCCTTCCTCACTGATCTACTGCATGTTGATTCTGCACCGCCATTTAGGCATGCATTCGAGAGGTAAGGATCCCAGTCATTGGACACTTTCCGCCACTCACCATCGAAATGCATGTTTTCCTGGAGAAGGTACCGAACAGTGTCTATCTCTCAAGGGCACACGGTACATGAGAATCGGATGACCTTCACCGGCTCGAGCGAATAAGCGGCAAGCGCAAGTCGTGCGAGTTGCGAGGTTCCACAAAGCGCCAAAGATGCAGGCTTTGTGCCTTGGAACCAAGAGGTCGGGCTGGAGAATGCAACTTTTGCCAGTGAAAGTGAGCGGGACCCTGTCGACGCACAACCTTCTTCGAGGGCGACTTGCGTCTATGTTCCAGTTCCCGCGATAGCACAAATATTGCAAGCTGATCTTGTGACTGACGTTTCTTTTCTGAATGCCAAAATCAGTTGCCACAGCAAGGAATGGGTCGCAGGGAATCTGACTGAAAAATGTGAAATCTCAGTGAATGTCTTTGCAAGACTAGTTGTTGTTCACAACATGCTGAAGGGCCTACAGTAATTTGATTTGTACACAGGTTTACCTGAAAACTGAAGATCCCTCAACCAGTGGTTGGTCTAAGCCTCCGCATCGTTTTGGAGGCTTCCTACTGATGGAGGTGTAACCGCGAGACAGGTTTGAAATGAATATTTAAAGCGTTCGAATGAATGGGGCATTCCGATAGAATCCACATGCATCAGTACTATATAGCCGGTTCGCTTGTTACTAATCTTAAGTGCCGACCATACTGCATCATGAATTATCCACATGTTTGTTCAATCAGGATGGAACTGTACATCTCACCATCATGCAGGTTTGGAGTTGTTTCTCTTCTCACCACTTTTGGTCCGTTGTATGCGCACCAGTGGCACCGGTGTCCTCGTTTTTCTTCTCTTCCGGCGGCCGCCACATGTCGAGGAAATCCATGCCTTTCCAACGTTGATCTTGGTCCGCCCCATGCAGAAGAAGCTGAAGCTTGTGACCTATCACCGCTGGAGGAAGCTTTCGATGTGGAGAGCCGGTCTGTTTTGGTGGAGAGGTGTGGCAGACATAAATCGGAGACATAGGACGGCTTATACTCACACCATGAGAAGCTTGGGATCATTTTTTTGTGAAGTGTGAGGCATGTTGATCAAGAGGTCAGTGAAATCAAGACCTGTAAGTTACACTGTAAGTATACAACAAATACAACAACCTTTGGCGAGGGAGTTTTGTGAGATGGACCGGGTGCTTTAGCTGAATGGAGGAAATTTCAGGCCCTTCAAGCTGTGGTCCCAGCTATGACTAACCATGATTGGAAACGTCTCTAAATAAATGTAGACTGAATGTCCAAATACTTCCTGAGAAAGGTATGTTTGGATGCCCCCCCCCCGTTGTGGCTGATTCTTTTCCCCATGTTTTCCCCGAACATTTGAGGGAAGATGTGCTCCAGGCCCTGGAAGAGGCCTTGTTCAAGCAGTTCTTTCTCTGTTCTTTTTGCACGGTGGAGCAACATTCTTCTTACGGTGCAGCAGTGACCAGCATGTTGAGTCAGTGTCATTGGGGGCGATGAGAAGAGGTGTCTCATGAGGCTCACGTTTGGGACTTGAGGTGTCTTCCTCTTGGGTTAGTCAATCGAAGTGACCTGGCTGTGAGAATCCTGTTCAAAAGCGGCTGGTAGACATCAATTATAGACAGAGTTCCCCGAGTTCAAAAAAACGAACAGCAGGAAGAATCAACTGAAACAGACGAACGAACCGACGGTTGGAGTCACACCTAGGACACCTAGGACCCTTCATCGACGACTCTTTTCAAAAAGCGACGAACGACTGGGAGGGTTTGGACTTTGCTCTCAGAGTTCTGATCACACTCTGACCACACCCTCTCAGTTCAGGACTTCCGTCACTAGACCTGACAGAACGGAGATGTCGACGACCCTTCGCCTTTGGAGTTTAACCCTTCCCTGCGGAGGAGGGACGTGAAGACGGTGTTGGACTGGGTGAAGGAGGAGCTTACAAAGCCCTTGACTTGAGCTGACCACAAAAACGGCTGGTCTGTGCGCTTCGCGAGCCGAGTCGGTGGGTTATTCCCCGCTGTGGCGCTAGGGGAAGATTTACACCTGCATGACATGGGTTTCTTATGTTTCCTTCTTTCTGATGATTTGATACTACTCGCAATCTTTCCAAGAGGAGAGTGAGTTCGAAGTCCTCTATCTCAGGTAGTGCAGTTCAAGTACAGCTAAGTGTACAGCTAGAACTGTTTCAGCGGTTTAGTACCATCCCTTGACACCATGGCTGCAGACTGCCAGCCAGGGTGTCAGGCGACAGGCGACCAAGAAACTCAGCACCACTTTAGGAGATAACGGTGAAGTATCATTGATGTGGTATCAGGCGTTCCATTAGGTTGGGTGATGTGTTGCGCGGTGTTCCATCAAGCCTGAAAGAGATCCATTGTTTATTTGTTGTCTCATAATATGTGTTGACGTTCGCCAGCAAGTTTGAACACTTGAGGTGCAAGTGGTTGACTGTCGTGTACTCAGGTTGCGTCCTTATGATATGACTGTGGTGTCTACCATGCTGTTCAGATGCTGGAGCCATCCTGTTTGGTGACGTTTTGAAATGATGAATTTGTCTAACAGAGACTTAACCAATGAGGTTTGGTATCCATTGCTTTTCTATTGCTTTGAGAGTTCCCGCGTAAAACCAGACACCCTGAAAGGAAGTCACATCTATAAAGACCTATCAACATGGTTCAAGGGGGGGTTAGGCAAGAAGAGATTTCAATTATACACGAGACCTTCAATCGACGATTTTGAGAGCACTAGGATCATCATGAAAACCCTTGGCAAGCCGAAGTTCGTCGATGCGGATCTTTTTCCGGGGCCTGTTCGACACCGGTCGCGCGCCAGGGAGGCTCAGGGCCAGTTGGGAGCTGAGAATGGCGAGTGGTGATTGTGGGTGACCTTGGGGTCTCCATGGCGTCTCCAATTGGCCCTGAAAGATGTTCTGAAATGCCAAAAGATGGGTCTCCAATGCCAAAAGACCAGTGGTCTCCATGGGGTCTCCAAATGGCCCCTTGGAAGACCATTTTCCTCTACAAACAGGGGGTTATCCACTTCCATGTTAGTTCCAGGGAGTGTATTTGGTCAAAACCTGGAAACATGGAGCAAACACCCTCCCAGGTAGGTCAACCCAAGGTATCCTGATTTTGACCCACAGCCATATGGACTTGCTCTTTTGGGTCGGAGGTTCTTTTTCGTCCAGAGTTGCAAGGTAGCCTTAGGTGATGAAACAGATCTTCCCGGTCGATACCGATTGGTCAACAGAACATCGCAAATAGTACATGTACACCGTTTGATCCTGAAAAGAATTTCAAGAAAGACACCTGCAACCTTCACTTACTCCTGGTCGTACTACTAGGTGCAAGAAGCTACGAACGGGGCTCCTGGCATCGCTACTAGGAACAAGAAGCTACTAGTAGCGAAGGGCATTTTTCTTCCACCCACCATCCGCACCCCACCGACCCGGCTGCCCAGGTGGCCAAGGCCAAGCCGAAGGCGGGTCAATCGGCTCGGGGTGCCCAGCCTGCGGACGGGGTCGAAACGTTTGGACGTTTGGACAGCCGCAGCGCTGCAGAAAGACATGGTTCAAGGTCTACCCTATATCAAGGTGTTATAGGTTTACATAGAGGGGCCTTTATATAGAGGGGCCTTTCCTTATATCAAGGTTTCTGGTTTAAAGTAAACACCTTCAGGGCACCATGGTTTAATCCGCTGGTGGCCATGGTTCCCAGCCCTTCCAGCTATCCACAAGAAGCCTCAAAAAGCCTCTCCATCATTTGCACATATTTGCATGTTTTTTTGGGGGGGATAGAGTTTCTACTAGCTTGCTATAACTAGGCATTCTGGAGCATCACACTGGACTTTGGATTTTTTTTTGTTGGTGGTGGTTTTCAGAACTTCACCTTGTCCTTCCGAGTTCCGTTCATGATCCTCCCATTGAGTTTGCTTCCCTGTGTCGAAGACTTCGCGCTTTCACAGCGCGCGCTTTCGCTTGGATTCACCGAATCGGCACTGGTTTTTCCCCCACCTTCGCCACCTGAAGATCATGGAGACGTTGTGAACGTGTGTAGACTGGGAGCAGGGTGACTACAGTACAGCGATTACAGATTCATGGAGATGTGCGAAGAGGCCTACGACTTGCCATCCTATAGAAAGACAAAAACACGGAAGTGGACATTGGCCCCTGATAAAGATGATTATGCAATATTATGCATATACAGGTGGTTTAGTAGGTGGTGTATACTTCCCACTTCCATGTGAGCAAGTCGGAGTGTACCAATTCACCAGGCTCCAAGTGTGTTTTCCATATGTTTTTTCCTCCGTCTGCCAGGTGAGGGTTGGTGTAATTTTGTAAAAGCATGGGATCGCTTGAAGTAAAGGGTTTTTGTCCGTTTGATTGTCTCGGTAGAGACCGATGAGACTCGACTCGACTCGACCGAGGTGATTAGCGGTCTCAACACCTCCTCCTCTGCGGCACAAGCCTTGGGCTCGATGCTTCAGGCGCCCAACATGCGGAAAACAACAAACAAAAAGAAACACGTTTTGTTTGGGCGACGAAGGCGTCGGGCTGTGGAGTTTCAACCCTTTCGGCTTTTCAACGTGATCATTTTGGTCCACAAAGGGGGAACTGGACTGAAACACCTCCGCTCTGTTTTGGGCACCGAGTGTGTGGGTTCCAGAAGTTGGTCGAAGAAAGGCGTCCAAGGACGGGCGAGGCCCTGGTAGTCTTTACACACACACACACCTTATATGTCTTATGTAGGTCAACAGATTTGGTGAGAAAGTGTTGAGAGAGGGAATTGCTTTGGACACCGGAAGTTGTGGGAGTTCCTGGGGCACATGTTGAAGGTGTGATGGAGCATGGTTAACAGTACTATCATGTACTATCTCTTCGAGCTGGCTGAGCTGATTCGTTTCTAGTTGGCATTGTGTTCTGAAAGCTTCAGAACTGATGGACACGGAATTGGACATGGACATGTTCTGATGCATGAACATTTTGGAGGAAACAAACGTGTCACGCCTGGTGGAAACCTGAAAGCAAACATCAGAAAAGATTGAATTCTGATGAATCCTGAAATCATGGATCTGACTGGCTCATCAACAATGCCACAAGGAAAGCATGACAAAAAAGTGTCCAGAAGAATTACAAAGATATGCCATCATGGCGTGCCCTTCTTTATCCAATCTCTACATGTTCAATGCATATTGCTCCAGATATTTGATGTACTCCAGGTCTGGTTTGTTTATAGTTGTCTCCCATGCTCTTGTTGACTCGAGACCTTTCACTCTCTAAGATGAATCTTGGACACTGCCCCGGCCCACTAACAGTGAGCACAAAGATGGGCACCACCAAGCGCACGAGAAAATTGGACCCCAAAAGCGGGTTTCTAAATTTGAAAAGTCATCTACCTAAACTGAATAGTCCCATTATATGTTGGCAGCACCTTTTTCTCCTTCATACCTTTGCCACTGGTCCACTGCTTTGGTGCTCTACACGGCACACTCTTGTGCCCAAGCCAACAAAGCCTTGCAAGGCTGCGCGCCCTGGTCTTCTCCAAGCCTTTCTTGAACCTGGGTTGGGGCTGGCTTGCTCTGGGGAGGTCCGCTAGCAAGGCTAGGGCTGGGCCTGGGGCTGGCTGGGCTGGGCTGGCTTGCTCTGGGGAGGTCCACTAGCAAAGTAAATGTCCCCCTACGGCTGGGCCTGGCACTGGCTGGGCTGGGGCTGGCTGGGCCGGGGCTGGCTTGCTCTGGCGCCTGGGGCTGGCGGCTGGGGCCAACTAGAGTAAATGTCCGGCTGGGGCTGCGGCTGCCCGAGCCCGGCTGGATCCGGGGCTGGCCGGTCAAATTTTGGCTCTGGAGTTGTGCTTTTCTGGTGCTCCTCCAGGCTCCGGAGTTGTGCTTTTCCGGCGCCAAAAAGCACGAGAAAAGGCACGAGAAAAGGCACCAAAAAAGCACGAGAAAAGGCACCAAAAAAG